TCAATGGTGTTACCATCACTGAATCCCCTACAGTGAACATCCTTGGGTTTACCATTGACTAGAAACTCAACAGGACTCCTCACAAACACAGTGGCTGCAAGAGCAGGTTGGATGCTAGGAATGCTGGAGTAACTTAACCACATGACTTTCCAAAGACTGTCTCCCATCTGAAGGCACAAGTCAGGAGTGTGATGGAATACTCCCCACTTAGCTGGATGGGTACAGCTCCAACAACACTCCAGACTCTTCATACCATTGAGGACAAAGCAGTCTGCTTGGTTGGTACTACCTCCACAAACACCCACTCACTCCTCCACCGATGTTCAGTAGCAGCAGTGCGTACTACCTACAAGATGCAATGCAGAAATTCATCAAAGATCCTTAGACAGCACCTTCGAAATCCATGACCACGTCCATCTTGAAACGTAATGGCAGCAGATATATGGGAATACCACCTGCAAATTCCCCTTTGAACCACTTGCTGCCCTGGCTTGGAAATATATTGCCGTTGCTGTCATTGTTGCTGGATCAAAATCCTGAAATTTCCTCCCTACAGACATTGTGGGCCTACCTACAAATCAGGGACTGTAATGGTTCAAGAAGGCTGCTCACCACCACTTTCTGTAGGGCAGCTCGGAACAGCTAATAAAATGCTGGCCAGCCAATCATGTCCACATCTCATGAGTGAATTTTTAAAAAATGGTCTTGTTTTACACGTGCAGTGGAATCATCAGATAAGGTGGTGAAGAGTTGTGTGGTGTTCAGGTACATAGATTCCAGTGTGTTTTTTTTTCACGTGGGTGATATCATCAAAAACAGCATATAGCTGAATAAATAGCAGGGTTCAAAGATATATGCTTGCAGTGGGAACTGATATGAAGGGTCGGAGAAGTAATTGTTGTATATTCTTTGTCTGTGGCTAGTGACACAGCTCACTTGGAGAATGCTGACATCAAGCCCACTCCTGTAGAATTGCTGCAGACGTGAAAACTAAATTCTACTACCAAAAATGCTCAAGTTACCTAACTGTCTAACTCTGTTTAAAAGAAAAACAAAACTTGGTGTGTATTTCTACTAAAGGGAAAATTATTATTTTTACTTCAACCAAAGTGATCATCTTGACTACTGGTGAAACTCAGCAGGTCTGGCAGCTTCGTTGGGAAGAAAGCAGAATTAACATTTTGAGTCCAGTGATTGTCGATCAGAATAAAGTTATTGGATTCAAAATGTTAACTCTGCTTTCTCCTTTTACAGATCCTGCCAGTTTTGCCAATAGTTTGATTTTTTTGTTTCAGATATTCAGCATCTGCAGTCCTTTTTTGTTTTTCATTTTATGTTCATAACTGGAGGCAGAAAAAGAAAAATGATAAGCTGTGCAATAATAAAATTAGCTAAAGATTTTAATCCTTTTTAAAATTCCCCCACTTAGAGAAACAGACGAGACCAAATAGACAAAAAGAGAAACCGAAGCATCTGCAGATGCTGTAAATCAGGAACAAAAACAAACTTGCTGGAAAAGCTCAGCAGGTCTGGCAGCATCTGTGAAGGAAAAAATCAGTTAACGTTAACCATTGAGGGTAGTTTCACTGAGTCGGATAACAAAGACAATTGTTGGTGAATGCCTAGTGATTTTGATGGTGTTGTTTGTGACTTTGATTCAAGCTGTTCTAATGGTTGGGAAGGTTTTCTTTTTTAGAGTAAAGTTGAGGGAGAGATGGCAGGGACCTAGAAGGAGCAACATGTTGACAATGTTCTTTTGTTTTCCCTAATTTGTCTTCTGGAGCGTACTCTCTTCTTTAGAATTTGTGTAATTTTCTAGAACCTACTTTTATTTTCTGGGACAGTGAGCTGTTCATTAAAATTTTGTATAATATGCCCCAAATTCATTCATTTTTTCAGTTAGTGGGTAAATTCTAGCAAAATTATTGCTGCCAGGCTTGGGAGCAAGTTGGTGCAGGGTAGGCATCAAACCTGAACGTGTTTTGGTCAGTTGTGCTTGGTACCACATCGATGTCTATTTTCAGTCACAAATTCATGAAGGAACAGTATAAAATATTTTCATTTGAATAATACATCTATGGATTCTTAATGTAGATTGAGTACTATGCATTTTTCTTTATTTTTTTGTTTATTGCATCATTAAAATAAACTTTTTGAAGTTGTAAAACAACTCTTAGTTTCATCGTGAATACAGATTGAAAGAATCAGAGCTCAGCATTAGGACTTGAGGGAGGAAGCAATAAACTGGCTGGAAGTACTCAACTTGGGTGAAGAGTTATTAGCAATGGGGCAAAGGTCTTTAATTCCACATTATAAACTCCAACAGCATGAGCTCTGTTTTTGTCCTTGCTTCACACCCGCTCTGGTACAGTATGAATAATTTTACTCTAGTTAGGGTTATTGTATAGCTTCCAGTTGCTACCACATAATTGTTAATTTTTGTAAATAAATTTAAACTCAAATGAAAATGTGGATTTCGTATTTTATTACAAGATGATTATGGAAATAAATATATGCAAGGAATTTAACTATTGTGTTTGGTCATGTTATTAAATTTCCTGCAACGCTGCTGGGATTCAACCAGGCAAATGCAACAAGCCACTAGAATGTTCATATTCCTACATTGGAGTTGCTCTTTTATAACTTTACTATGTGGGGATCACCGTCACTCCCAGGATGTTAGATATTTCAAAACCATGTCAAAGAAAAACAACTATCCTTGGCAGAGAATTTCTTTCTATTACTATGTGGAATGCAAATAGTTCGCCAAAAAAAGTTGAAGTATCAATAAATATGACTGTTGGCTTATAAACAAGCCACTGGTGCATGAAATTGAGTTGATTTTGATCCTGGCCCAGTCTGGATATATGGGGAGGGTTTACGGCAGGATGTTCATCTAGCTGTTTTAAAAAAAACATTCAGCCAAATCCAAATAATTTAAGATTGTGATAGGGTGATCAGCCAACATTATTATGACGCTGTAACAGGGGAAAAGCTGAAAGAGAGAAACATAGAAGTGTAGGGTGTAGGAAGTAGGAGCAGGAGTAGGTCATTCGGCCCGTTGATAATGCTCCGCCATTCAATATGATCATGGCTGATCATCCAACAGCGTACTCCTCTGTTCCTGACCAATCCACCTAACCTGCATATCTTCTGGACTGTGGGAGGAAACCAGAGTACCCAGGGGAAATCCCTGCAGACATGGGGAAAATGTGCAAACTCCACATAGGCAGTCACCTGTGGTAGAATTGAACACAGCTCCTGGCGCTGAGGTTGCAGTGCTAACCACTGAGCCAACATGCTACCCTTCCTGCATTTATCCTATCTAGTCCTATTAGGATTTTATAGGTTTGAGACCTCTGGCAAATTTATTCTTTCTTTCCTATTTAATCTAATTTTCTAATTAACCTGTTCTCACCTCTGGAACAGGTGGGCCTTGAGCCAGGGCTTCCTGATCCAGAGGTTGGGACACTACCACTATGCATTTGCCGAGGGCCCTTTTGACTCCAGTGGATATTTTTGACGTAATAGAATAATTATCCAGGTGTCCAAGTTTAATAAAATGCACTTAAACTAGTGTAATACTTGGAAGTGCATGGTAAAATAAGGCAAAGTCAGCATAGTTTCATCAAGGGGATGTCATGCCTGACAAATCTGTTAGAATTCTTTTGAGGAGGTAACTAGCAGGTTAGACCAAGGAAAGCCAATAGATGTTATCTACCTGGACTTCCAGAAGACCTTTGACAAGGTGCTGCACAGGAGGCTGCTGAGTGAGATAAGGGCCCATGGTGTTAGAGGCAAGGTACTAGCATGGATAGAAGATTGGCTGTCTGGCAGACAGCCAGAGTGTGGGGATAAAAGGGTACTTCCCAGGATGGCATCCGGTGACTAGTGGTGCTCCACGAGGGTTAGTGTTGGAACCACAGCTTTTCACTTTATACGTTTGAAGATCTAGATGAAGGAATTGAGGACATTCTGGCTAAGTTTGCAGATGATACAAAGATAGGTAGAGGGACGGGTAGTATTGATGAGGCTGCAGAAGGATTTGGACAGGTTAGGAGAGTAGGTAAAGTGGCAGCAGATGGAATACAACATGGTACACAGCAGTGTGAGGTCATGCACTCTGGTAGGAAGAATCGAGGCATAGATCATTTTCTAAATGGGAGAAAATTCAGAAATCTGAAGTGCAAAGAGACTTTTGGGGTATAGATCAGGATTCTGTTAAGGTAAACTTGCAGTTTCAGTTTGTATTTGCCTTCCTAACTACCATGTTGGCATGTTGAGAGGACTGGAAGTTAAAAGCAGGGATGTACTTCTGAGGCTTTATATGCTCTGGTCAATAATATTTAGAATATTATGAGAGATTTTGGGCCTCATACCTCAGGAAGGATGTACTGGCCCTGGAGTGAGTCCAGAGGAGGTTCACGAGAATGATCTTAGGAATGAAAGGCTTATTGTGTGAGGTACGTTTGAGGACTCTGGGTCTAAACTTGATGGAGTTTAGAAGGATGAAGGTGGATCTAATTGAAACGTACAGAATACTGAAAGGCCTGGACAGAGTGGACGTTGGGAAGATGTTTCCATTGGTAGGAGAGACTAGGACCTGAGGGCATAGTCTTAGAGTAAAGGGAAGATACTTTAGAACAGCGATCAGGAGAAACTTCTTCCACCAGATATTGGTGAATCTATGGAATTCATTGCCACAGAAGGCAGTGGAGCCAGGTCATTGAGTATATTTAAGATGGAGATAGATAGGTTCTTGATTGTCAAGGGGATAGAGGGTTACAGGGAGAAAGTGGGAGAATGGGGTTGCGAATCTATCAGCCACGATTGAATGGTGGAGCAGCGTCAATGGGCCGAATGGCTTAATTTCTGCTCCTATGTCTTATGGTCTAAATTGGCTAATACAATTTTTTATGAATTAATTTTGAAATTATACAGTGATATTATATAATTTGTGATTCTGTCTTTGACACTAACACTGCTGTTTGTTTTTCTAGGTGAATTTTGTAGTATGCCAGTTGTTTGCTTTGCTAGCAAGTGTATGGTTTCGACTTTATCTTCACCCAAGTAAAACTAGCAGCTATGTCAGGCATGCTGTTGCCACACTTCTGGGACTTTACCTTGCATTGTTCTGCTTTGGGTGGTAAGTATTGCATTGAAATTTGTTCTTTGTTTTGAAAAAACATTTCCTAAATGTCAAGCAGGGTGTTCTTTAGCCTCGTGGGTATTTTGCATCAAAAAATTGTCTTTTGCATGTTAAGCTAGACAGTATTTGATGTGAATCAGATGTTGAGAGTCATAATTCAGCTTGGCTCTGTTTTTATTCATTATCCCTGTTGTATGATTCCAGCAGGGCTAGGAATTTTTTTTCTTTTGATTCTCAGACCCAATAAAGTACATGACTGCTTCTTTCTGACTTTCACCAATTTACTGCAGATTAATCATTGCACAGAAGACTGAACTGATCTGCAGAGGAAGTGGCACATCATATGATTTTGTGTGTCAAGGGTGGGTCTGCTTGTCACCTAACTGATGTATGGTAGGGCACACGTTTGCTCTTGATTCTTGTGTTTGATCTGGTTTTAATATGCAAGATAATGCATAGAACCTTTTAAGGAAACTTTGGGGCTGTGTAGCTATGCAGGTTAGAGGGAGCTCTGGTAGCAAGCCAGAGGATTTTGGAGTGTTTTAGAAACCAGCAAAGCACAATCAAAAAGTTGATAAGTAGGGTAGCTGAATAAGAAGACCTAGGAAAGTAAGCTTATCATGAATATGAAAATAGATTGCAAGAATTTTTACAAGTAAATAAACAGGAGTATAGCAGAAGAAAATGTTGGAGCTTTAGGAGGTAGAACAGGAGAAACTATAATGAGAAAATGGCAGGAATGTTGAACAACTAGTTTGTGGAACTGTCAGAGGATAATAATGTATCAGAAAGAGGGTGCAATCAAGGGCCTAATAAAAACGAGAAACCAAAGGCAATTATAAGAGAAACTGGAGACTAAGCCAACAAATCCCAAGGACCTGACATACTGCATTCTTGGAGGCAACTACAGATATAGTAGGTGCTCTAGTTATGATTTCTCAAAGTGTTCTTGATTATACAATAATCCCAGGAGATGGCTATCAGTAAAGCACTATTATTAAGTGGATAATGAAAACGGGGAACACAAAGTTAATCTGACAGTCAGGAAAATGTTGAAATTTATTATTACAGAAGTTTTGCAATGCACATCAAAGTCACAATCAGACACAATTTAGTGAGGTTTTAAGAAATGGCAAGAGTGTTTGACAAATTTATTGGGGTAGAGTCAGGATTAAATAATGAGACAAAAGAGCTGATCTCATTTAACTGATAAGACAAGGTGTTGGGAAACGCAGATTTAATATTTTGTCGAAGTAGTGCTGGATCGATGTGAAAGGAGGAAATTCTTTAGTGAGTGGTAATGATCTGTGAAGGTACTGGAAGCAAAGATGATTTCAGATTATAAAAGGAAGTTGGATTGACACCAAAGGAACTAAACATTCAAGGATAGAGTGTGGTCATGAGTCAGTGGGTTAGTCTATAGAACTGACATTTGTTGCAATTGACTGACTGGCACAGGCGGCAGCCATTGTAACTTTTTGATATTTAATAAGACATTTGCCTGTCTTGATGCTTCTGACTAGTGGCTACACTTTTTTTTTGCTAGGTGGAAAGACTTTGAACTTGTGTTGAGATGCCTCTGATGGTCTTGGTGGGCAATAATAGGCCAGGAAAGATCTCTGTTCTGGACTTTTATCCTCCTTTTCAGAATTCAGACTGTATCGCGTCCATGTTGAGAAACAATAGGTGACTCTCCCTTGGAGCCAAGGTCGCTCTCTGAGAATTGCGACACAGTTCTCATGAAAATATATAAAAAATACAGGGTGCAGGAGTGATTTATGGTGCTCTGGGAGCTGCAGTCAATGCTTGCACTTAGATTTTAAATTGGCTGTTTTAAGCTCACTGACAGCTTGTTTTATTGGTGGAGGTTGTGTAGTGGCAGTGTACAGTGTTCCTAAAACTTGCTACTCTTGTGTGAAGCTTTCTGACATGTTGATAGAATAGCTTGCTAAATTGTTCAAAGGCTCAAGTGGAAAAAAAACTTCTTAAATTTTAAATAATGATTCGGGTGAGAGTATGTAGTATATAGATCTACGTGAACGAAAACTGATTTTCAATCTTTGATTTGTTCGAGGTTTTTTGATTAGTTTGATCAGAAGTGGTTGGGGGAGGGGTGGGGAAGTATGCAGAAAATATTATTCACACTTTAATACCTTTTGCAGTTGAGCTGATAACTCCTTTTGAAGTTGAGATTTCTCAAGCAGCAAGTTGTTCACGCAGATGCTGGAGAGCTTTAACATATTCCAGTCAGCACTTATTGATTCTGGGTGTGAGATGTGGGCCCAGCAAACCAAGAACAGGGCAAAGAACCACTGGAAGCCACACTCCATGCAGGAAAAAAAACAGGAAAAAAATTTTGAATAGAATTTTTTTGTTTTTGTTTGTCTTGTTTCAACTTTTCAGTTGTGATTACATGCAAGTTTATACTGGCTTCTAAAGTTTTTTTTGTGAAATCTGCATTGCAATTTCATGTTACATATGAAATAAAATTTGTTATAGAGCAGTTTTGCAATGGGGAAAAATATTCTAAATATTTAATGCTATCGAAATGAATTTAATGTTAACAAAGTGAATCATTGTGCTTTTTCCACAATGAATTCAAAGAGCAAACATGAAGAAAACAGAATAGATAGAATAATTTGCAGCACTGTAATATTCTCTGCTCTTCCCCCCACCCAGCCTGGAGGGCAGCACACATTCATGTGACTTTTTTCAGTGCTGTCAACTAACTAAGTAGTATAACTGGAAGAGATTACTTTCAAAACACATCACAGGACTTTAGCAATGAGTGAGCTAAAGGCAATGCCAGGATTAGAAAGTGACTTAAATAGTGTGATCATTTGAGATGTTCTAGTCTTCTCACAGCATTGTGTTGGAAAGGAGCACTAAAAGTCACATACATGATGACTGTGAAATCTATTTTAATAGAATCTTGAAGTGATTCATCTAAAAATTGCCCTTAAAACCAAAGGCGTTAGTTTTGTCATTGCACACTATAACCTATCAAACCTTTATTAAATCTATTGATAACAGAAAGATAGAAAATAGAAGCAGGTGTGGGCAATTTGGCTCATCGGGCCTGCTCAGCCATTCAACATAATCATGGCTGATCCTCTAACTCAACGCCATACACCTTGACACCTGTAGCTTCTAGAAATCTATTTCCTAAATATATTGAGGCTTTGCTTTAAACAGGAAGGCTTGGAGAAAGAATTTCAGAAGTTCACCACCCTCTGAAGAAATCTCTCCTCATCTCAGTCTGAAGTGGGCTTCTAACCTGATACCATGATCCCTTTTTCCTGTACAGTCTTGTCAGAATATTATACTTTTCAATGAGATGCTGTCAAATTCTTCTAAACTCCAGTGAATACAGGCCTAGTTGACTCCATCTCTTGTATAACAAACCTGCCCTCACAGGAATCTAGTGAACCTTTGCTGCACTCACACTATGGCAAGTATATTTTTCCTTTTGGTAAGCAGACCAAAAATGTACAAAGCACTGAAGGTGTAATCTCACCAATGCCTTGGGTACTTCCTTGCTCCGTACTCACTCAAACCCTCTTGAACAAAGGCTTATATACCCTTTTGCCTTCCTAACTGCTGGAATTCCAGCAATCAGTGTACAAGGATATCTGCACTAGCTCACCCCAGCACACATGTGCTATGGGCTGCTTTAAATTGCACACGTGAAGCAAAGGTGCAGGTTGTGGATTAGAAACTCTGGAACAGGGATGTTGGGGGTGGGGTGGGGGAGTCACCCCTTGGTAGAGGAAGGTGGTGCAGGTGGATTCGGAGGTGGGGTGGGAAGGGAAAGGAAGGAATTGGGAACTTGGAGAGAGAGGCAGAACCTGGGATCTGGGAGTCTGTTCTTCCCCCATACCCCCCCACCCCAACCAAACATCCTCCCCTGCCTAGGAATACACTTGCATATGCCCCAACCCTCTACCCACTGCCCCCACCTCCTTGCTCTATTTCCTCCTTCCCTCCCCACCACCTCACTGTGCCTCCCCCTTGCTCCCTCATATCCTCTTCCCTCACCTGCCTCCTCTTCCATCCCCCATCTCCTCACTCTGCCTCCCCCATCTAAATGAGAATAATAAAAATACTCCAACTCATACTTGTGCATTCAACGGTTCAAACATGCACAGCCAAGTAAGTTTATAAGATGGGAAGATAGATTAAATGGTTAGAGTCCATAAAAGTTAGTTGTATGTGGATTCATTAGATTGATACCATTTTTGATTTTTTTTTTTTCAGACAGGGCTCAATGGACTTTCTGAATTCAGGATCAGGATGATTTAAAGATATTGAAGGATTTCAGTTTGTTCACCTGGAGTCAGCAGCTGCTAGTTTGATTTTCAGACGTTGCCTGTGGATATGGCTTGTCGAACAATACGCAGGGCTCAAACTAGAAAGGTGACGAGAGTGCTCACCTAGGGTCCTCCTTCCTAATTTAATTTTGTGTTCTCTGGCCTGAAGAGAAATGGTTTCTTAAAACAGTTAGTTGGTTCATCATATGATCTCTCCTCAAACTGATCGATTTAACCCAACATGATCATAGCAAGTTGATTCCAGGTCCGTTGTTTAGGCATGATTTGTATTATGGCTAGAGGAGTTCCCGTATCACCCAGGATCCATTGTACGAGGTATGTTTGATGACATGGGCCACATCTAGTTGAACATACAGGTTGCCTGAATGCTTTGTTTAGCATACTTTTTTTTCATGATACTTTTTAAAAGAAAGCGGTGTATCTAGAATTCATATATAATTGTATCAGCAGTTGTAATTTGTGCTGACTGACTCTATTTCACTTAGAGCGTCATTAACCTTAAGATTAAACATGTTTCTTCTAGGTATGCCTTGCATTTTGTTGTGCAGAGTGGAATTTCTTACTACATCATGATCATTGTTGGTGCAGGGAATATGCAAAAGTAAGTATTTTCAATGGATGCTATTCTCTTTGCATTTTAATTTAACTGTATCCAGAATTTCTAAAGTGACACTACCGTAAGTGCTGCATTTAAAAAAAAAAATCCCTTAATGTGAGCAACTTTAAAAAGTTGATAAAGCTAAATAGGCATGAAGTTTTCATTCAATAGATTTCTGATCATGTCACTGACGATGCTCATTTTGAGAGATACCCTGGCAATGTCTCCACGTGTTCAACTAAGCGTTTCAGTCGGGACACTTGGAAAACAATGAGTCTGAGCCTTGTGAATGATCCTTTCTTCTGGCCTCAAATGCTGCATGATACGAATGACGCAACAGTCACAGATTCTAGTTTGCAGAGTACTATCAATGATCAGGAAACCTTCAACATTGCCATGCAAATAATATTTGGTAGGCATGAGCATGTGCCCTTTAACAAAGTTGGGCAGTTATATCTGAGCATCTTTTTGAAAATCTTGGGTATGTACATTCATGCTGACTTGAGATTGGGTAGCCAAGTGGACAGTATGCTACAAAAAAGAACAAATGAGGAATTTTGAGATCTCTCGTTATTACAAAATCCCTACCCACAATCTGTGATCTGTACCAGCAACACCTGGCCCTTGGTCAACTGTGCTATGCCTGTGTGGTGCCTTAGAAATACGTATGTGTAAATTGCTCCGATCAAAATGCAGAAGTTTGCTGTTAAGTGTCATGACTCACAGGTATAGTACCAGTTGGAACAGGTTTCTGTATTTGACTATATTTATTACCAATACTAATCACAGGTAAACATTTATGATTTATGGATATATATAACTCTACCAGTTAAAGCTGTAACCCCCTTCTGAAACCCACCTACACACACAGACAGATACAAGCAGACAAATAAAACTAGCATTACAGATGGAGGCAGAAAAGGATATTGGGGTAACAACAGTTTAATGACACCTGTCTTCCTTCAGGATTTGAAGGTGTGCTGCTTTTTTTTTAATGTCCTGCAGTTCTCTGATCTTTTACTCCAGGACTTTTGCTTCACAGGCAATACAGAGGGACATTGTACACAATTTATAAAATCTTTGACTTATTGGTTTGAAAAAAACAGCTTACACAACTAGATGCAGAAAATAAATGGCTTTCTTTTAACTTGGGTGTTTTACTGGAGAAGACACAGACACGCACCCCTCTTCTTTTCTTTTTATCAGTACATTTTCTTAGTTCTTCTGTGAAACTATCCTTTTTGTAATTCAGCCCACAGTCAAAAATCAAGTAATCTTTGGCCATACCAGTCATACAATCACACCTTTTCATGTCACAAGCTTTGAAACTCTGAAGTGTTGCACTAAGTTTGCAAGCTCCCTTGCACAATCTAACCACTTTCACAACTGGCTGCCATCACCACACCCAGAGAAATCCAGGCAACTCCATTTTGTCTGAACCCAACCCTGTTAGGTGTGGGATGGAAAGATATCGATGTAGCCCTATTCATTAGACATTACATACTCCATAAAGTATTTGAACAAATTTTTAAAAAAAACTTTAATTCATTCACATGAGGGTGCTGCTTACTGGGTAAGCATTTGTTGCCCATCCTTAATTGCCCAGAGGGCAGTTAAGCATCAACTGCATTGCTTTGGTCTGGAGTCACATGTCGGCCAGACCAGGTAAGGTTGGCAGTTTCCTTCCCTAAAGGACATTAGTGAATCTGTATGTATTTTTGTGGCTGTAATAATGGGAATGATGTATTGGTTTGTACTTTTCATATAATTTTAACCGCATATTCTTCCTTTTTAATATCCCATCCTCTATTTCCCTGTTGTCTGCTAAACTTCTTTGTCTGCTTTTGTTACTAAATGATTGTCATGTTTCTGTTTTTAACTTTATTAATCAGGCTGTAGATTGATTTTCATTCTATTGTGAACCATACTGCAAATCACTGTTTGGACAGTGAACATGCTTCTTCAATGAAATACTTTTGGGGGAAAAAAATCTGTTATAGCAGTCACCACCCCTAGATACAATTATTGACAAAGTCCACTAGCAGCATATGTTTCTTTGAACAGCAGTGTGTGGAAAGATCAGTGTTAAAGCAGTTTTCTTTTAAAGCATGTGTTTCTCATAAATGCTTTTGAAACTGCAACATAAACTTTTTGTGAACTGTTAGATTCATTGAAGGAAAGTAGAGAAATTTTGATTCCTGGGATGGCAGGTTTGCCACATCAGGAGAGATTGGGTTGTCAGGGCCTGTATTCATTGGAGTTTAGAGTGATGGAATAATATTTGAAATGTATAAATTTGGATGCAGGGATGATGTTTCCTGTGGTCTGGGGGTGGAGGGAATAGTATCCAGAGCAAGGGATCATAGTCTCAGGACTGAATTTTGGACAGAGATGAGGAGAAAATTCTTAAGTCAGATGATGGGGAACTTCTGAAATTCCCCAAGAGCGACGGCTGTGGAGACAAAGTTACCAAATACATTTAAGAAAAAAACTTTTCTAGAAGCTATAAGTGTCAAGGAGTATGGAGAGAATGGGAGTATGGTGTAGAAAAAGAGGATTAGCCATGATTATGTAGAATGGTAAAGCAGTCTTGATGAGCTGAATGGCCTACATCAGTGCCTATTTTCTGTTCATAGTTATATGCAGAATCTTAAAAGTAGATAATTAATTTGCCTATTGACTAAACGTTTAAGTATGATTTCTACATTGGAGGAAGGCTAGCTACCACAATATTAGGCAGGAACTAGGAATGTAGACAGGGGTTGGGGGATGGCTGTTTGAGGGTAAATCCACATCTGGCACGTGGAAATCTTTTAAAGATCAGTTGATTTTAGAGTTCAGGAACGGCATGTTCCTGTGAAAATAAGAATTTGGATGGAAAGAGAAATTGAGAGTTTAATCGAAGGAAAAGGAGGCACATGTAGGGTTTGGGAAACTAAAGATGGATAGAACTCTTAGAATGTAAAGAAAGTAGGAAAGAACTCAAACAAGGAATTGTGAGGGCTAATATGGGCTGTAAAATGTCTTTGGCAAATGGGATTAAGGAAATTCCAAGGTGTTTTATACATGTGTAAGGAGTGAAGTGGTAGGTCCACTTAAGCACACAGGAAGGATTTTTTGCATGGAGCCAGAGGAAGTGGGTGAGGTCCTTTAAATGAATACTTTGCATTGGCGTTCACAAAGGAAAAGGGCATGGTAGGTGGAGTGTCTCAGGAGGGGTAAGGTGATATTCATGGGCATGTCAATATTGCTTTTCTTTTTTTAAAAAAAAGTGTTGGGTATTGAAAAACATTTCAGGTCGACTAATCCTCAAGATGAGATGGAATCTATCCCAGAACGCTGAGGGAGGCCGGTAAGGAAATTGCTGGTCCTTGTACAACGTCTTTGCATCCTCTTTTAGCCACAGAGGACCAGAGAATAGCCAATGTTGTTTCTTTGTTTGAGAAGGGCAACAGGCATAATGCTTGCTGCAGTGTTCTAGTGAAGCTCAGTGCAAGTTGGAAGAATAACATCTCATTTCCCACTTGGAATCTGCAGCCCTCTGGACTCAATTTTGAATTCAATAATTTTGGAGCCTGAACTTTCCAATGGCCTAGCCCTCTACCTCTCACATGCCAGGTTTTGTTATCACACAGCCTGATCATTATACACTACCTATTGTTAGCACCCTCTCAGCTATATCGTTTATCAACTTCTTTGTCTGCCCAACTGTTCTTCTCTCTCTCTCTTTTTAGGCTCTAACCCCACCTATCATTTATTCCTTACCCCCCGCCCCCAACCTTATCTTCTGCATATAAACCATCATTTTCCCAGCTACCATCAGTTCTGAGGAAGGGTCACCAGACCCAAAAATTTAACACTGATATCTCTTCACAGATGCTGCCAGATCTGCTGAGCTTTTACAGCAACTTCTGTTCTTGTTCCAGGTCTAATCTTGGAAATAACAGGCTTGTGTCAATGGCTGGGGAATTATCGGAGAAGATTTTAGTGGATAGGATTTAATCATATTTGGAATTAGCGCTAGGCAGCATGGCTTTGTGTGGGGAAGGTCATGTCTCTCAAACCTGATTTGAGAGAGTGACAAAGATGATTTACTGCTTTGCCGTCAATGTTGTCCATATGGACCTTAGCAAAGCCTTTGACAAGGTCACTCGTGGCAGACTGATACAAAAAGTAAAGTCCCATTAGATCCATGGTGAGCCGCTGAGATGATACAGGATTGACTCTGTCATAGACAGAGAGTAGTGGTGGAAGGGTTTTTCAGACTGGAGATCTGTGATCACTAGGGTTTTGCAGGGATCAGTGCTGAAGTATGTTAATTTTAAATCGAGACCCATGGTGCTAATGAACGTGGCATCATCAATATGTTAGTCAAATGATAGAAAACAGTCAGGTGCATGTTGGAAGGATTTAAGCGATGGTGGGCCTGAGGTCAAATGTTACAGCCATTGCTTTTATAAACACATAATCTGGATTTGGGTATATGCAACATGTGAAAATTTACAGCTGACAAAAATTAAAGGTATGGGAAGGAAACCAAATAACTTGCAAGAGGTTGCATGTCAATAGATTGTAAAACATTTAATATAATCCAGAATGGATGAAAGGAAAATGTCTATAGGAAATTTTGTAGCAAATAAAGTTTTTTTTAAAAAAAAGCAAGTTTTTATCTTTTCACTATAGGGAAGAAAATCCGGTTTCGTTAGAAGTGTCATTGGACAGATATAGCCAAGAAAAGGGCTATTGGAAAGGCTGATAATTAGAGGAGAAGGTGCCTCAGCAACAATGTGTTAACCATACTAGAGTACAGAACCTAGTCTTCTGAAGGCGCAGAAGTCTGCAGAAGGCATAAAATGCCAAATTGGAATGTTCGGAGGGTTTTAGGACTGGATAAGATGGCAGTGATGGGGAAATAATTGATGAAAGGATATGAACACACAGATGATGATATTAAACTTTGCACCTAATTTAGGTTGCTAATGCCTTTCAAAGAGGATGCAATGAAGATGTATGATATCAGGAATGTACTATTTGAGATGTGAAACATTAAAGAAGTTGAGACTATTGGCAATGGAACAGAGAAGGTGAAAGATTCTATAGAGTTGCATTGAGTAAATAAAGGGAGACTTTCCAGTGGCAGAGGAAGAACATCTAAGGTAAAACTGTCAGTGATGACATAAAGGGAAGGTGGTCTATCTAGCAATGTTGATCAATCGTCATTCCACAAAGCAAAATCAGTTTTGCTAAAATTTCTTGTAATGTCCCTCTTATCTGTTGCTCAACACTATAGATGCTTGAGTTTTTGCTGGTTTTGACAGTTCAGTAGACAGGTCTGGAATCTTTTTGATTTACCTTTTTTGTAGTTTTGTCTCTAAAATTGCACAGTCTGCGTACTCTTGCCTGCATTGAATCCATAAGACAAGTCCTGTGGCTCCTAGGGGCCATTTTATAATATTCTTATGTCCCTTCTAAAGATGTGTTTTGTAAAGAAAAGTAATGTATAAAATTTCAACTACACATTTGTGACCAGACTCTCTGACTTCTCCACTGGTACCACAATACAGTTTCAGAAAAGCTAACCGTACTAATTGGGTACCACTTAGGAGTCAGAAACCAAGGTCAAGGTCAGATCAATGACTTTTCATCAGAACTAGGAAAATTTAGAAATATAATAGCTGTTAATTAAGTGAAATAGTGGAATGAATGAATGTGTGTCTGGTACTATCTCCCCTGCACTACATGCAGCTGCGTCAGGGTTTTGCATAGTGATTTGTTCCAGAAGTCACTACCTCATACAGACCTTTGCAGCTGAAAAGAAAATTTAGAGGAAAGCTGGTGTCCAGAAGAGGTGTGAATGACAGATGAATAAACAGCTACTGGCCAAAATCAATACCAGATTAAAATTAACTGTAAAAATGGGTCAGACACAGTGGAGCGCCCTGTCAACTGTGATAATGAGAGAAATCTTTTGGGGAAAACAGACATCAGAATTTTTAGTGTGAAAGTTTACACCATCTGAGCAGATGCAATAAGATGGAGAAATTTAGAATAAAATGGGGTATTTCAAGGAAGCAGGACATCAAGAAGTGTGATCAAATATGCTTTAGGATTTAATATGTTTATTATGAATATTTGTTTATGGTCTACCTTTAATTTCTCAAGATGGATACAAGAATACCACATTTCAAAGGAAGCAATAACTTGTACTGCATGAGAAAAGACAATTGATTGGCAAGTGGAGGCATTCTCATGGGGAATACATCAAGGACCAGTCTCTAGATTTTCATTAAATTAAAAAAAACAACAGTTGCTGGAGAATTTGTGTTTTTGGGTGGTGGAGCCCTGTGTATAAATGTGGCTCCTAACATGCTTAAGTGAGTCACCTTGTAACCTGACTTGTTTTAAATTGGAAGTTTGTGTACATTTTAACACGCCCGGAGATGTTTATTAACTGCTGTCCAATTACAAAATCATATCTAATGTTGCACTGTTGAGATGTTTTTTGCAAAATTGGTTTAGTAAAGTCATCTGAAGGGACACAATCTGCAGTCACTGAGACATACAGCCTATGTACCTGGCATCAAAACTGCACTGAAATTCATGTACCTCAATTGCGTAGTGGGAAGAATGTCTTTATAACTTGATGGCCACATCCCGTTGGTGGAGAATGCCATAAGCACGAGTCACATAGTAACAGAATGAAATGTATCAGATAGTAGGAACTGCAGATGCTGGAAAATCTGAGATAACAAGGTGTAGAGCTGGATGAACACAGCAGGCCAAGCTGCTCCTATGATGCTGCTTGACCTGCTGTGTTCATCCAGCGCTACACCTTGTTATCAACAGTATGAAATGGGTAGATTTACCTTTTTGCTCTGATTACTAATCCTCTAGGTGCTAACATTTAATTCCACTACAGCCATTGAAATGCTAATTTGATAAAAGCCAAGCAGTGTGGATGCTGCAAACTTGAAATAAAAGCACGGTGCTGGAAAAACTTGGCAAATATGGCTTCAACCAGCCTGTGAACGAGACTTGGAAACAAATTGAGACATCAGGCAGACAATGTGTAACCTGTTCCAGTTTAAAGTTTGCATGCAAACCAACCTCCTGGAATTTTGACCACAACCTCCACTTTATAGGACTCTTGCTTTGTCTTTTTAAAGCAACTGAAAGCTATCTAAGAAACGGCTGGTCTGCCACATAGGAGACCAGAGTCAATAAACCAGACTGAGATTCTCATCTGTAAAAATGCATTAGCCTTCATCTGTACTCTTTAGGTACAAGGGAGCATTTCAAACATCATATTTTAATTTGGGGTAAGCATGTACATAAACAATCATTTTTGTTTTAGTTTCTCAAAAGTTTGTTAACAGCAAATAAATAATTTCAACAGACACTTCTAAGGGTGCACTTTCCATATAAAACAAACTGGTAACAGGCAGTAAGCAAACACATTATGTGTCTGTGACATTAGACTCTGGTTTTGCGAAAATGTGATAGCTCTGATATGAGAACTTTAAACAGATTATATTCTTGGACTTCACGTGACAGAAACAGCCTGAACTAGGACCCATCATCCTAAATTCAACACTGACACTTCTTAAAGCAATCCTCATTTTCACTCGAACATTTCATTAAATTTCCAGCACAAATGGAGTCCATTTTGTTGTTGCTAAACACCACTTCATGTCCAACCCCACCACTAGATCTCTCATTTTTAATATATTTGTACTTCTCAAATTTTCGAGTTGGTAATACCCTGGCAGAGAGTTGGAAGTCTTCGTTCATTGAACAAATTCCATGAGTGCTATTGTTGCTCTACCACTGTATTCAAATAAACATTACTCCTACATTAGTTGTAATAGTAACACACAAATATGAATTGACTATTAAGGCAGATGCAGACTTTTCAACAGAAGTCACAAAAATTACTTTTCAAGAACAGACTTGCTAGTAAATAGTTTTGAGTACTGCATTTGGTCATCAGGCACTAAAACCAATTGAAGTATCACTGAGGATAATGATGCAGAATGGGAACCATATGTGGAACCTCCTAATCTGTGTAGTTAAGTTATAAACTTCACATTCAACAAGTTGAGACATTGGAAAGCCTCTGAATCCACTGGCACTGTTCAACCAGCTGGATAATGTTTTGCATGAGGCCTTGGTAGCAAGTTGAGTAACCTATCATGCATCTAGATTTTTGATCTTTTTGCTTCGTGGAAAGAATTTTGATATTATGTTTTTCAAACAAATTGTTTTGAAAGAAGGCGCTAAACAATATTTCAAGCCAACTGAATGATTTTCTTGAGTGTAAACACGGGTTGCATAAAGAGGCTCTGTTATCTGACCTTATTCCAGGCTAATTAGCTGAGATAAATTGGGACATATCCTGAGTTCCTTTTTAATATTTGACCGAATCATGCAGATTCATATTGACAAATTGTTTGCTTTTGTTATGGCACCAAAACCTTAATTTGTCTTTCCCTAATGTCTTTGCATTGAAAGAGGGGAAAAAAAGTTAACACTGTACAAACTTACTACTTTATTTGATACTTTAAACAAATTCAAACAGACTGAACATTAACCGAAGAAATTGCTCTATAGTTCGCTCTCAAGGTGGTTTCTGTCTTGCCACCTTTGTAGATTCCCATTTAATCTGACTGAAGCCAGTAAAATATTGAATCATACTGATGACTGTGTCATTTGAGACTTAAACTCGTGTATTTAAGACAGGTGTTAAGACATTCTCACTGTTTCATTCCTCCTTGAAGTTTGAGTATCTTGGAGAGAGCAACAAAGAATGAATTAAGAAATGCGGTATGAAGAACAACGTAGAAATCTTATTAGTATGATCTGAGAATTATCTGTAGCTGATGTGTTTGGAACAATACTCTGACTGAAAATAAGAACGAGGAGTAGAGGTAGGCAATTCAGTCCCTTGTCTGTTCTGCCATTCACTATGGTTATGATTGACCTCAACCTAACCTCAATTCCACTTCCCTGTTTACTCTCGATAACCCATAACTGTGTCTATTTTTTCCTTAAATTCACTAAATGTCCCAGCATCCATCACACTCTGGTGTAGTGAGTTCTACAGATTCACCACCCTTTGATAGAAGTAATTTCTCCTCTTCTCTCTCTCAAATCTGCTATGACTTATCCTAAGACTGACCTCTTGTTCTAGATTGCCTGACATGAGGAAACATCCTCTCCTCATCTATTTTGTCCATCTCCTTTTACATCTTTGTATACCTCAATTATTATATTTCCCCTCATTCTTGTAAACTCCAGAGGGTATAGGCCTAAACTGCTCAATCACTACTTTTTTTTTTATTAGACAAGCTTCTCATCTCTGGAATCAATTTAATGGCAAATAGTTCCCCTTTTTGTTGGGGGGGAGGGGTGTGGAAATGAGTACATTATAAGGTTTCAGATTGTTTTGTTTGTTTCTTAAGCATGTTGTAGCCAAGTAACTAATGGCTCTTGAGTGATGAGTCGTTTTCGTTCTCTAGGTTTTGTTTTGTCATTGCTTTTGGATACCTCACCTTGTGCCAAGTTAGCAGAGTATATCTCTTTGACTATGGACAGTATTCAGCTGATTTTACTGGGTAAGTGTATTGCAATTAATAATTTAATGTGGTTTTAGAGATTTTGGGAATACTCATTATTTGAAATCTAAGCCAGCCTGGTAACCTTAAATGTTTAAAATAGAGTCTACTTTCTAATTTCTGAATTCCTAGATCTATTAATATAATGTGAGATTTGCAGTCACAAATTTTTCAACTGCACGAGTTCCTTTTCAGTGTTCCCATATAAAATTGTTGCTCAATGAAATGGTTCACCAGTTAATAATTTTATTTCGGTCTAAACAGTACTTCAGTTCTGTTTCACCAGAGGTCTGAACTTAGGACACACATTTTATGGTAACCTTTCCTTAAAATCAATAATTAGCATGCATGGCTGTTTTCATACCCCAAAAAACTGGCCAGCCTCTCAATGTTCACATGTCCAGACTTGGTTAACAATTTGTTATTAGTATTTCTTGCCTATAGCTTGTGAACTTTGCCATCTCTGCAGGGCCTGCAGAAATTCTTAGTTTTGTAATGGTTTAAAGGTTTGCTTTTGCGGAGTCTCTCCAGGTCAATTCCTCTTGATCTGAACATCACGACTACAGCCTTAAGATTTAATAGCCCAATTCCGTTGTCCATTTTTAAATAGCTTGACTTTGTAGCTTGCTCAAATAACTTTTCTAAAATTTCTGAATTATTCAAGTAACTGTTTATATAAGAATAGTTTATAACTACCAGATTTCCATCTTATCAAGTTTTGCCTAGTAGCACAGCCCTCTGCTTGACACATGCAGGTACTTTTAATATCAGTTAAGTGATAGGATTGGTTTGGTCAAATTGGAGATGTGTGCTCCCTACACAATGACATGGCAATGACAATACCATTTTAGATTTGTGTACTAATTCTGGCAGAAAACACCCTGCAAACATTCACAATTTAGGAAAGCATACTTTGTTTATGAAGTTAATAATGAGGAAAGTAATGCATTCAGCATGAACAAAAAATTGTTTTCTCTCCGCTTCTGTCCTGCCGTTTTGCAAATCAATCTACTAAAAGATTAACGTGGTGTGCGTATACTGCATAAATTAAGATGTGATTTCAAGCGATGAGCAATACATAACAATTTACTAATTAGGAATGCAGTTAGCATAATTTTAAATTTTCAATGGCCATGTGTGGCAAGTTTATTTGACAACAGAAGGAGGAGACTGCAGGATTTCACTTTGCTCAGAGAGAAAGGCACATTGTTTTGCTCGAAGCATTAGTCTCCCTCAAAAGATGTCATTTTAGTCTGCCTGCAGATTGTGTTCTGAAGAGTTTTATTGAAAAAGATTCTCAACATTTTTTCGCCTTATGATACTTCTTTTCTGTAGTCCGATGATGATAATTACGCAGAAGATAACCAGTCTCGCCTTTGAAATTCATGACGGTAAGGAAATATCAAATTGTTTAATTGAATTATTTAATCAAAATGTGATTCAGTTAAACTGAGCTATCCATATATTTCTGTTTCTTCTGTTATTTTTTCAGATTTAAAGTGTGACTTTGAGTTGGTACGAATCCTCTTCAGAACAAGAGTTCTGATGAAGAGTCATACCAGACTCAAAATATCAACTGTTTTTCTCTCTGTATGCTACCAGCCCTGCTGAGTTTCTCCAGCATTCAGTGTTTATCTTTCTCAAGATTCTTTCCTTCTGTCTTTTCTTAGCTCTATTATTTGTTGCCTATTTCTACACCATGGGTTCAGGGACACAGACATTCAAAGAGGGTCTCGGGCAGAAAGATCGACTCCAGACATTTCTCAGACACATCTCCTGTATGCCCACATATCATCAGGGACCTCTGCCAGTCCTGATGAAGACATCCCAACATATGTCCTGTCTGCAGTGATCCAGAGACAGAAGACTTGGTCTTCACCCGGAGCTTGATGTGTAATTTTTTTCAAAAAATAATTCCAGGTTAATTAAATATGACTTGTATTCACATACTTGTTCACTATATTGATCAACGATCAACACTTGCCTGATTGCCGGTTAATACTGGAATTTATTTTGTGTCAAAATTTGGTTTTTCCGTTTTTGTTTTGGTCTTTTAGCTTAGTTTACCTGAGCGTTTGCAGAAGTACGAGTTGATCAAAGAAAGTACAAATTTCTGCATGATAATTCATGCCTGATTTAATCTAGTTAGAAGCCTAATGAACTGCCTTTTGTGACATTTACATGGACAACTATGTGGGCCAATCTTAAGGTAAGGAGCAGGTGGTTCAGAGGGAATTGAGGAAATAGATTTCCTCCAGAGGGCAGTGGGAGTTGAAACTCGTTGCCTAAAAAAGCGTGCTAGAAATGGGAACCCTCAAGATATCGAGGTAGTATTTAGAGGAGCACTTGAAATACCATACCATACCATACCATACAGGAAGGGTCAAAGCACCTCTTCTGTATTGTAAAAACTTGTAAACTCCATCATTCTATAGCTTCCTACATTCATATATTAGAGGCCTCCTCAAAAAAATTAAACAAATTAGTCAGGCATGAATTACCATGCAAAAGTTTGTGCTTTCTTTGATCAACTCTTACTTCTCCAAATGCTTGGGCAAACCAAGCAAAGGCTAAAACAAAACAGGAAAACCAAATTTGGAAACAAAAATAAATACCAGTATTAATCAGAAATCAGGCAAGTATTGACAGTTGGCATTAGGAAAATTACTAGTGACCATAATCAGACATGAATTAAATATTTAGATGGGCATGGGCTGATCAATATAGAGAACAAGTTTGTCCAATCTCTCTTAAGATAATCCCTTCATCCTGGGACCAGGTATGGTGAACCTTTTGTTTGACTCCCTCCCTCTATAGCAATAATATCTTTCCTTAGATAAGGAGACCAAAACTGCACCCAGTACTCCAGTTGTGGTCTAAGCAAGCTCTTATGTAATTGAAGCCTTCAAATCCCCTTGCAATAAAGGTTAACATTTTACTAGTCTTCCTATAGCTTGCTGCACCTGCATAATAACCTTCAGTGGTTTACTGATGAGAACACTTAGGTTCCTTTTCATACAGCCACACTTTCTAAACTCTCTCCATTCAAGAAATAAGCTGTACATCTGTTTTTCCTAACAAGTGGATAACACCCTGTCCCTACCCCCACAGCTGCCAATTTTGTCAGTGACATCTTAAATCTCCAATTTGTCAGAACACATTTGTTTTCTATTTGCAAATCCATCCTGACTATGCTTAATCAGTTCAGTTTCATCTAATGTCAATTTATCAAATCCTTTATGATAGATTCTCCCATGTCCTCTAGAATTGATATAAGGCTGAGGAGTCTAATTCCCTGTTTGTTCCCTAGCTGCTTTCTTAATGGGGGTGATATCTGCAAGAATCCTTCTGGACTTTTGGAAGCTAATTTTTATCGATGCATTGACTATATCCACAGTCGCCTCCTTCAACAGGGTGGCACAGTGGCTCAGTGATTAATGCCGCTGCCTCACAGCACCAGGAACCTGGGTTTGATTCCACCCTTAGGTGACCCTGTCTGTGGAGTTTGCATGTTCTGCCCATATCTGTGTGAGTTTCCATTGTGTATTCTGGTTTCCTCCCACAGTCCAAAGATGTACTGCTTCTGTGGATTTGCCATGCTAAATTGCACTGTAGTGTTCAGGGATATGATAGGTGGATCAGCCATGGTAAATATGGGTTTATGGGGATAGGGTGGCAGGCTGGGTTTGACCGGGATGTTCTTTTGGAGGGTCATTGCAGACCCAAGTTGACTGGCCTCTTCCTGCACTGTAGGGATTCTACAGACACTCTGGGATATAAACTCAGGTCTTGGGGACTTGATCAACCTTCAACTCCGTTAATTTCTCCTGCACAACCTTCTACGAATATTAATTTCCTCTTAACTCCTCATTCTTCCATGTCACTTGGACCTCTAATACTTGGTGACTGCTTGTACCTTTCTCGGTGAAAATTATCAAAATAAAAGTAATTTTTCAGCTTCTCTGCCATTTCTGTACTCCCCTTTCTAAATTCTGATGCTGCTTTTAATGGATCCACATACATTTTAGCCAAGTGCTTCCTTTTTGCATATCTGTAGATGTTTTTACAGTTCACTTTTGTTTATTACATTTATGACTTGAATGAAAAATATCCATATTACAGATCCTAAGTTAGGAGGCACAGCAATTTCTATAGATGAGAATAGAAAGTTATAAAGGGACAAACTAAAGCAACCTACCTCCCCACTTATCGATGGGCTGGTGTAGTGAACTGATGTAGCATTTCTTTGTTCAATCCTTGACACCTCATACATACTGAAGGTTCCCATTCTGCATGTCACTGGCTCAATTTTTGTTGCCATAGTGTTAACACATTACCACATTACATACGTGCACTAATTACAGGGTGTGTCTGGAATGTTTCACAAGATACTTAAATTGCATAGTTGGTTTTTTTTTTAAATAGTATTTTTCGTTTTCTGATTACGCATGTTAACAAGTCTCTTACTTTAACAAAATTGCACATTTGAAACAGAATTTTAGCATGTGGTCTGAGCATCTACTTCTACTGACTCACTGAGATGACTGGTTTTTAACAGTGAAGCAATTCAACCTTGACAGTACAATTATTCATTAATTATCAGTTGTGTTATGTCATTACTTAGGCTTTCATTTGTATTTTTAAGGATTACTTAGTCATCATGCTGCAAACTTAATGAATAGTTACATTTAAATACCTTGTAGCTTTGAATTTTCAGGCTAGGTTTTCTGCCCAATGATTTTGAAAGCGTGGTAAATCTAGAACAATGGGACAGCTTACATCTGGTTTACAAAAGCTAACTGTTGAGCAAGCCTCTGGCTTGTTGATCTAGTGGTAATGTTCTAACTTTAGGGTTCTTGGGGGAAAGCATGTCTAGTAAGAAAAGGGAACCTGACCAAATAGTGGAAGAAGTAGAGATATTGAAAGTAATAGATGGGATGGAGGTTTGGGCAGGAGGGACTGGAAATGCTGTCAAGACTGAGTTGATATGTCACTTACCTGTAATGCAAACCATCCAATTTTCTGAACACCTTGGAGTTGGAAATAGTGGGGAGTTTCATAATCTTCCATGAATGTGGAAGAAGTGCAGGAGGATTGGAGAGTGGCAAATTTGCAGCTCTATTCAAGGAATGGTGTAGGGACAGTTCCGTCAACTGTAGGCCAGATATTTTAACATTGAGTATGGCTTTAGAATCTGTAAATTGTTGGGGAAAAAATAGTCAACGGGCACCTGGAGAGATGAGTTTCTTACAAGAAAGTCAGGTCAGATTATTATTAAAAGGTGGTTTGTGCTTGATGAATCTGATTTGAATTTTTTGAACTAACAGAAAATATTGATGATGGGAACGCAATGAATGTCAATAGTTTATTAAAATCCATACAAAAGCTGTACACAAAATTGTGCCTTTTGGATTAGGAAGATCATTGCTAAGTTAGGTTCCAAAAAATGTGCTTTTGGAGACAAAATGGTCTTTACTTTCAGGCTAAAATAATACTGATCTTTCCCAAAAATTGATATTAGAACCGTTGTCATTTTGATGATGCCTGTAAATTACTTTGGATATTGGAACATTAGAGTAAAATTTCAAAATTTACTGCTTGTACCAAACTTGGAGGTGTGGCAAAAAAGAGGGGCAATTCTAATTGATTGTAACAGGACATAAGTAGAAATAATGGAGTGTGCAGATGAGTGGCAGGTGAAATTTAATAAAGCTGAGTGAGGTGATGCATTTTGACAGAAAGGAGAGGTAGAGGCAATGTTGACTCAATGGAACTCGGATAAAGAGTGTGTAGGGATAGAGGAACCTGGAAGTACATGTGCAGGGACAAAAGGATGTGGAATTGCATGTGCGTAGGTCTTTTAAATGGCAAGACATTGAGAGTGTGAGTAGGAGAGCACGTGGGATCTTGGGCTTCATATATAGAAACAGAGTACAAAAGAAAAGAAATTCGACTCCATGAATCTGCTCCACCATTTAGTAGGAACGTGCCTGATCTGACATTCCTCGGGTCCACTTTCCTGTGTTTTTCCCGTAACTCTTGATTTCCCCTATTGATCAAGAATCTATGTCAACCTTTTAAATATACGCAAGGACTCTGCCCCCACAGTTCTCTGTGGCAAGGACTTCTAAAGACACTCATTCCTCTGAGTGAAGAAATTCTTCCACCTCTCGGACTTAAATTGGCACCCCTTTTGTTCTGAAGCAATGCCCCCTGGTCCTAAAATCTCCCACGAGGGGAATCATTGTCTCAGCATTTGTCCTGTCAAGCCCCCTAAGAATCCTATATGTTTCAAAGAGATCACCTCTCATTCTTCTGAATTCCAATTAATATAGTTCCAACCTGTTTAATGTTTGCTCATAAGATGATCCCTCCATAGCAGGGACCGTCC